TTATATGTTGCGCAATACTATATGCATCGACGATCGACGAATTATATGAGCGAGATGAGCAAAGAACGGCTTATCTATTTCTTCATGTGTGAGATTATTTTTAGCAACAAGAACACAATGGATATTGGTAAGTATTGATCTAAGAGGAGATATTCCAAACATACAAACATATTTTCCCAACAACAATAAAAACGGAAGAAGAAAGCTTCTAAATGTATTCTCTGGGAATTTTTTTCTTCGATTAACAATTGCAAAGCGATTCTTTGTTTTAATGTAGAAGCCATCGGATAGAGCAGTTTAGGAGAATTTGATCAAATGCAGTCATACAAATCACTTCATTTACATCATCCAATATATCCGAAATACAAATATCATGGTTTGTTACAACCGTTTAAAGTTTGGTTATGGGTCGGCTTGATCATAATTTTGGTTTGTAAATTAACATAGCTAATAAAAGACAAATTTAGGTTGATTTTGTAAGTCACTCAGCCGTCCAAAACTAGCAATTCGTGTTAAATATTGCATGTTCTCTAAATGCTGATGTTCACCAAAAACCGAAAGATCTCGTGGAAATTGTGGTGCAGAACAATCACATTCTCCCTTACTGCGCTCTTTTGGGCCCAGTAAGAAACAGGAAAAAAACTCATAGATTTGGAAATCACTCTAAAAAGATAATTTCTTGCAAGACGCATAAAACTGAATAAGTTTTTAGAAGGGTGAAAAAAAAAAGTTTCCTTTCTCCAATTAAAACCAAGAGGCGGTAAGGCGCAAGGATATTCGAGGTAGAGAGTTTTATTTCTTAAAGGACTTACTTTGAAATTCAACTACAATCGCGGAAAATGAACAAGCAAGTAGTCATTTCGCAAGGAAGCAGTGGAGGAGTAATGAAAGCAAAAAAAAACGTGAATCAAAAAAGCACATCTTTAGATTGTTTTGCAGTTTTTTGCTGATTTTTCCACAGCGATCTTTTATGGATAAGAAAAAATAATAAAATCTCTCTCCTTCACGTTGGTGAATTTTCTAATCCGGTTTCAGAAACATAATTACAATTACTACTTTTTAGCTACATTATAAAAATAACAAGTCTAATTTCTATAATCCCATTACTGAGATTATTTATTTAATATTCATTTTATACACTCAAGATGCGTCAGAGAAACATATGAGAAGTAACAAATTGATTTGTCAAGCGAAATTTGAAGAATGTTTTGTAATAAAAATTAGTGTGCGCGCACTCACTGAGCTTGTAAAAGTTGAACTTCTCATATTTTTTTTTCTTTCCACACAGAGATAACAATGGTGTAAAAGTTGTCATCAGGGCAATTGTCTTCTCTTCAAAAAAAAACATGACATCCATCTGGGCAGTTGCTATTTGATGAGGGAACTTGGGTGTATCGAAAAAAATTTCAAATGTAATAAGTTACAATGCTTAGAACTGCATGACGTTTAAGTTTATTACTGTCATCGATCATGAAACGAATAGACATTAGAAGCTGAATAGTGGAAGCGCTGTCTATTATAATGTTTATAATAGACAGCGCTTCCACTTAGTATAATTATAATGTAGCAATAAAGAGAGCTTCCTTGATAATCTTTTGAGAACTTTGAAAACAGAAAAAAAGAACATTGTTGAGAAGCCATAAGAAAATAATTTGCATTAGTCATGTTCGATTCGCTCAAGAATTCGGCATATATTTATTTCCAATCTATAGCGATGAATAAGCATCGAGAACGAAGAACTATAACATTCCTTACGTTCCCATCGCTACAAAGTGGAAAACGTCTTATCAAACATACGGGAAAAAACTGTGAGTTACAAAAAAGAGAGCCATTGAAATATGATAATGGCGCTTTCACTCTGAACATTTAGCTCAGTTATACATGGAGACAAAAAATTGGTTTATATGGGTTTTTCTTGCCCAAGATTGTGTCCGTGAATCGCACTCACTCATGGTATCAGCCATAACAACGCGTACTTATCCTAATTAGAAATTTTATTACTATTGTATAAAGAAAGTGCTCTAATGAGCATATGTTATGAAGGTTGTGGCGAAGCTGT